GAAGTCGAAATATTTCCACAAGGGTATCAGATTTAAAGATCAAGAATAAAATTGGAAAAATGTCAGGCAAACTAAAGTGTACATTGAATGGATTGGTTTCGCAGCAAAGTTGAATTACTTCCCACAATCTTTATCTTTTTTTTTTTTGGTATTTCAGAAGGAAAATGCAAGTATTCACTAAACCAAACATTTTCACTATTCAGTGAACTGTTGAAGTGTCATAAAGTATGAGAATCCACCTTTGATGAGCTGTAAAAAAAACCTTATGAAAATTGTTGAAATTTTTTTGCTTTGAAAAATTTTACTTTTTTGAATGTTTCGCGTGTGCATCTTAGATTGGCAAATCCCCGAAGAGTGACATCATTTTGGGCTGACATCAGTACAGTTGGTATAATTTTTTGCACATCTCTTGGAAACATATACCAGTTTGAACAGTAGATTGCATTGGAAAGTTGACTGAATTCGTTGGTTATACTTTCGCCCATTTCACAGAATAAAAACATTTGGCCGAATGCATAGGCACCCAATATACATTCATTTATTAGATTTGTTGGATTCATTTGGCTAGTTTCAATGTGGATTACTAAGAGTGTACTGCTCACAGTTGAAATACTCCATACGTAATATGGAGATAACAATATCATAAATCTTATTTTGTTATTTTTTATCATTTTTAATTTAATTTATTTTATTATTTTATTTCCAAAATATATTTAAGATAATATTAAGTATTTCCTCTAATTCTCCTGAATTAGACCGGTTTTGCCATGGTTTTCCGGATCCAATATCGGTATTTATAGTAACTCGTAAATACCCTCCCTCCCCTATATTGTATCTATCTCTTTTTAAAAGTCGCACCATGGGCGGAATTTATACCTTATTGGGCACATAGCCAGCATGTGTCTAGTTTACTAGACTCACACAATGGTATAAATTTAGGATTGGTAATAAATAAATAAATAAATAAATAAAAATGTCCAAAAATTCAAAGACTAACCTAAAGAAAAAAAAAATCGTTAGTTGTCTTTGTCTAGGTCTTAATGTATTTTTACAAGAAAATATCGTGAATCATGTAAAGAATTAACCGAGTAATGCGCTATATGTTTTATATGAAAACGTCACATGAATCTCCCCCGAAAACGACATCTTTGGTCTTGCAGCAGAAGCTGTTTCTATGCTGAAAATTTCATTTCAGTTTAAAAAAATTAAAATATTATTCATGTAGAATTGTACAAATATTTCAAAACGTTGAAATGAGATTTACAGAAATATGCATTTGAAAATTGTTTTAAAAAATAAACACGGCACAGTCAATTTCAAAAATTTCAATGAATAATATTGTTGACATATTTTCACGATGACAGCTATTTTTGCGGTACAAAATTGACACGTTTGAATGATACGTCAATATTGAACATACTCTACACACATGGGGAAACAGAGATGGCGTTGTCGTAGCATGTAGCAAAATATATGTTTAACGCAATATTCGGCTTTAAAGAATCAAACTTAACTCTTTTATTTTCGAATGAAATTGAATAAGACCATGAAATTTCATTTTAAGCTCTTCGTCTGTCAATTTGTTCTTCTCGTTTTCCACGTAGTTCTCCATTCGGAATTCTTTTACAATAGCTTGAACGAGTGGTATTAAAATCAAACAAAACCCCGCAATGAAGCACAAAACACAACAGCAATTCACCAGAATTAAGGAAAAGGTTAAATATTGAATTGAAAACGCAATTATATATCCGATTGGTGTTTTCCAATCAAATGGCATCCTAAAATGAATAAAAGTAAAACTATTCATTGTGAAGAATATTTTTTTGACATTGATTACTTGCCATATAAAAAAGATAAAACTGAAAGCATCACTTCCATGGCCACGTGCAAAATAATAAAAACTCAACATCAATTTTGAGAATAATATAAATGGTATGGTTACTCTGATAGACAAAAAATAAAAATATCTTGACCATTTTTCAATCTTTTCATTGACTTCGATAAAAGTGGTGCCGTAATTTTTTGAACCTGTGGAATTTATCATAATTTTAGGTTTATTGAACAATGGCATAGAAATTGTGCAAAATTAAACATAATTTTCACGTAATCTGAGTAAAATAGTTTCAAAAAAAAGAAAACATTCGATAGTTCTCATTTTTAGGTGTGATGTTCTTTAACGAACAACCACTGCAAAATCTATACGGTAAAATTATTGACAGTGACTCAGTTTGCTCGTTCTTTGGTGATCTTGAAAATCTTGAACAAAAAAATAAAACTCACTAGATTCCATGACAATTTCCAATTTATTGAACAAGTCAAATATTTTAGATTGCATCAGTATGTGGAAAGACAAACTAATGATATTGACACACAGTGATGCACATCCAAAGAACGTATTTCCAATCTCGCGAAAGGTCATCTCTTCGGAGAGCATAAAGATTACGGTTCCAATGGCACAATATCCAAAGAAAAAGAGGACCAACAGATTCCATATATTGAACGAGTGTTTTTGATGTTGCTCAATTCCGAGAATTCCAAAGTGTTTTTTTAATTCAATGAAAATTTTCATGATTTTTCAATGCCAACCAACTAACGTTATTTGAAGAATAAAATATAACTAACTTCAATAAATACTTCGACGCATTTATATACAATTCCATTGGACCCAAAAAGATGGATTTTTAATAAATTACTTTTTAAAATATATTTTATAATTGTTAATATTAATTAGGGTCAAATGTCAAAATCTATTGTTTGTTCCGGAGATAGTAAATTAATCTAGGGGGGACACGGGCTCCTATTTTTTCCTAATTTTTTTAGTAAATCGCATGCGATATGCATTTAACGATCTAATAAGCCACATTTTTTAGTTTTCTAGTCTGTGTCTACCCCCTAGAAATTAATCCAATGCCAATAAAGCCAGTAATAAAGTACTTTAATATAAAGTCGACTTAACGAGCTCTTAATTACGAATAAACATCCAAAACTGTAAAGGTCAGTAACGATTGGAAGTATTTAATCTTCCTTTCGGATTACATAATACTGAAAACACAGCGTAATTTGCTAAAGATGAAGAGATTATTTTAATAGTATAATTGTTCAAAAATAATGAAATAAATAAAAACATCACAAACATGGAAAGGTCAACTCCATTATTTCATTTGTACAAATATCATTCCAATTTCTTTCGAAAAAATATCTGCTGAAGATGTTTTCAATTTCCTTATTTTTCCACATTTGAATAATTGGATATTGAATATCATTGCACTGTTAATAATAATTCATTTTTTGGATTTTGTAGAGTATTGACTCTCTATGTCCCCTGTTTACCTTAAATGTGAATTTTAATGCGAGTGAAAAAAATTGCTAATAATAATGCAAGTAACAGACATTACATCGCGTCAAAAAGTACAGGCTTTTCAATTAAGAGGAACCGACATCAATAGCTCTTGCTATAAGCTGCTTACATTAAGCACAAACAAAAAGGATCTATTATCTAATTGTTAAGGTGACCATAAAAGACCGAATCAAGCGTGAATAAATTCAATGAGCGCTAATATCGTAGATTTTTCTTTATCGATTCCACCAATACGACATCTACTAAAAACTCGCCGATTTCTGTTACTAGTGGTGTTTTAAAACAAAATAGCTCGTGTAAACGTACAAAGGAACACACAGACTCCGATTCTGTGTATGCGTATGTATTACAAATTCTGCACTCAGTCGTCAATGGTAGCTGCTTGTGCAAAATTAACAATACATACGCATACACAGGATCGGAGTCTGTGTGTTCTTTTGTATTAGTTCGTCTGTAATACAGCCATAGCCGTATAGTTCGCTCGAGCTGTGTCAAAGCAACAGCAGTAACACAAATCGGTATCTTTTTTAACAGATGTCGTATTCGTAGAATCGATAAAATTAATTTGTATGGAAAATATACGATACTAGTTCCCATCTAGGGGATAACCATGAATTGCAGATCGAATAATTTATAATAATAAACGCTATTTCTCTCTATTTTTCACTAATTCTTCTAGTATTTCTACTAGTTTGTTCTAATACTGCTATTTTTTGCTAATTTTTCTAGTACGTCAAAAATATTGCATACGTCAGATTGACTGCATGATCGAATAACCGAAATGTGTTTACGTAAATGTTTCAAGTTGACACTTTCACCGTGTATATTTGAAGCAGGCATGTAATCTATTTATATTTATTGAAGTTTCAGTCCTTTGAATATTGAAATTATTATCTACATTACAACATCAGTGCTATCAAATCAAGTTTCGGGCTGTATATATTTTATTAAAATAATTTTTAAGTGTTTTTTTCTCTTGATTACACTCCACTTGCTTTGTGCTTCCAAGCCTGCTTCATTCATTTTATATTTTTCAATTGAATTAAAATTATTTAAATTCAAAATTGATTGATAAAATACTAAAACCGAAAAATTGAATATCGTGTGAGTACTTGTCATATAATTATTGTTTACCTAGCGTTAAACGTCAAGTTTTACGTTTACAGAGACGTATACGTTTTCAGTAAGAAATCTGTCATCAAATCTACATTTCCGATTGCAATTCGTAAATTATAGTTAATACAGATGGAACGTGCTTGGTTAAGTGCCATTGAATATATTTTTATTTAAAAATGGGAAAAAGCGTATTTAACTACATATTTTGATACATTTTAGTTCAACACTATTCAATTCGTTTGTTTTGTGAATTTTATTTTAATTAATTATTGCAATAAATTCAAGAATAAATTCTTACTAAAGTATATACGTGTACAGTGCTAATTCTGCTATTTATTGCTAATTTCTCTATTTTCTTCATGTAAATTTCCCTATTTTTTGCTAATGTGCTAATTCTAATTCGCATGGATATCCCCTAGGTTCCCATCGAATAAATTCTACATTGAGATTATTCTAATCTTCTTGCTCAATCAATATAATTTATAAATATTTTATGTTTTCATCAACTTTCACATTTTCCTTATTGTTAACGTGTAAATTGTTGTAGAGTCATGAAGTATGAAAATCCGCCTTGAACAACCTAAATAATAATGATCGATGATTAATCGAACATACCTAAAATTTCTAGATATTAAGTCAAGTATTTACCTTTTTAAAAGCATCTCGAGTGCATTTAAGATTTGCGAATCCTTGAATAATAACTGGTTTCTCACCCGACATTAAGACAATTGGTAGGAGTTTTTGTATTTTCATAGGGAATAGGTACCAGTCGCAAGAGTAAATTTTATCTTCGATTTGGCTAAAATAAGTGGTTACATTTTCACCCAAATCACAAATATAAAACATCTGGATAAATGCCCAAAAAATCATTGTTGATGCAAATAGTATGTCCATCATTTTGCCATTATTTAACTACATGAAAATGGAAGCGAAAAATTATTAAAATATTTTTATTTTGTGGAATACTCATTGTATACTCAACCATCATAACCCGAATAACCAAGAGCGTTGTACAAATCGTAATTAAAGACCACAAATAGTAACCAGTTATGATAATATCATAAATGTCTGATAGATCGTTTGCAAGCCTGTTGAAATGTCAATATATTGCTACTATTTTTATCACTAATAAAAGTGTTCTCAACTGTTTTGCATTGGAATGAGTCCGAATAATGCGGAAAAATGCGTTTTCCATCGAAACATTCTGTTTGTTGGCCTGATTCAAGGTGTGCAAATGTCCATCAATGCTTTCGATGTACGATGATAAAAGCCAACAACTTCCGGCAAATAAGCAAATAACACAACTGCAATTTAGCAAAAGGAAAAACCACGTTGGAACTTGAACACATAATGTGATTAAATATCCGTACGGTGTCTTCCAATCGAACGGCATCCTTGAAGTGAGGAATTTCTTTTAAAGGGAATATTCAATACTTTGTTTAATATTTTCTCACCACATCGGGTAGTTTAAAAAGAATGCTTCACTCTCTCGATCGGTAAAATAGATGTAAAAACTTAAAAGTAGTTTTGGTATAAAAACAACGGGATAGGTAACATGCATGAACGCCACGTATGAAATTCGGGACCATTTTTCAACTTTTAAATTCACTTTTTCATAATTCATCGTAAGATCGTCTAGTTCAAAGAAAAATGTATTATAATACACCTTAACGGTCAAGATTACAAAAAACCTACCCTTTTTAACAACTTTATCAAAATTTTCGATCAAATTGAAGATTTTCGATTGATTCAATATGTTGGATAATAGCGAAAAGAAATTAAGCATCAACGACACTATTCCAAAGGAGCAGTTTCCAAAGTCAATGAATGCGTCCGATTTTTTTAGTAATAAAAACAATGCTATGCCAATAAAACAGTATGCAAAAAGAAATAGACCCGCCACATTTTTTATATTAAAACGATAGTTTTGATTTGGTCGAATTGCCAAATCGTTCAATTGCTTTTTTAGCTCTAAGAAAGTTGACATGATTCAATATTTTGAACGACAAGTAGTCAATTCTGAAGGAGAACTATTTTGAGTTGAGTATTGTTTCCCCCTTTTATACTGAATGTCATGAGACATTACCAATTCAAGATTGATGAATTGGTTGATTGGCTGAGACCAGCAAGGACAGAACACTTTTTTATTGAACTTTCTTCTTTTTTTTGTTTTCTTTCAATCAATGATTTCTTTGAACGAAAACAATTTACAAACGATGGTAAATTAAATACAATCATCTATTCGAAAATTCACAACTATCCACTCGCTAAAAAATTCTCTTTTGTAAATTATTGTTATTCCTTATACAACAAGTTCCACTTACATTTGATTTGAGTGACAGAAGCTCTATTAATTGAGCAATCATCATAAACAAAGTTTAAGTAATCGAACTTTTTGTGTATTTCTCAAGTTTGAGAGAAATCGCATATTGAATTGTTCCTTGTAAAGTAAACGAATATAATTTTAAAAATGAAAAAAACATCTACACAGAATATGTAACGCATATAATATTTGTTTTTTTAATTGAATGTTATATGTCAATTAAAAAATTATTTACTGCTTGCATGCTTTTAAAAAATTGAACAATTTATTAAATTGTTTTTTTTTTTTAATTTTACGTAATGTACATAGCAATTCAACGCCTTTCAATACGAATGTTAATATGCATGGATAAAGATGGCGCTACGTTAGGTGGAGTTCGGCTCATATATACACAAGCCCATATAATGTTAGTCAGGGTCGTTATACAATGTATTAACAACGGTAATTCAATAATGATAATATTCTTTTTGTTACTCAACAGAAGATATTAAAAATTCCATTTATAGAATGAAGGGCAATAAGTTGGATTTCTGAATGTGCAACAAAAAGAATGTCATCAAAATTAAATCACCGCAGAACCCGATGAAAAATTGGCAGTTTTGGTATAGATGGTCAAGACTTTTACATCGTCAAGAATAGCTGGGGCACATCATGGGGAGACGGTGGCTACATCAGAATGGCTCGTTATAAGAACAATAACTGTGCTATCGCCACATTAGCCAGTTTTCCATTGGTTAAGAACAACAACGTTATACTCAATTTTTCAATTTTCAAACGTTCTTTTCTTCGATTACAAAAAAGTCAACAAAACGAAGACAAATATGTCAATTTTTAACCTTAGACCCGTCCCTCGGGTCAAATTGACCCCAGTTATATTCTTTTGCAAATTAAACATACAAAAAATCAAAAATATAATCAAATATCGTTTTTTCTATGTATTGGTGCTTTATCTTTGTAAACACAGTGAAAATATTACAAATATGTGACAAATGTGTATGGGCGTCCGATATGTAAATGGCCGACCGGCCACTCTTTTTTATTCACCAATGACACCATGACAATTTTGTATTTTATAAGAACAAACAGGCGCCAATTGGTAGTTTATTTCAAGGCCTTTCCAACGATATTCAAATAACAACTGTAAGTCCATTATTCAACATTGAAAGGCCGGCCACGGCCAAAATGGCGGCAGGATCAAAAAGTCGTAGAACAAAAAATGTTTAGCTTATATTGTACTTTCAGGGATTAAGTTTGAAAAAGTTTCGGACTCAACTAAGTTTTACGCATATGTAAAAATACATATGAATGGTTGAGAATAATGATGACTCACGCCGAAACCGACTCTTTTTGCTCGGTTTCTAGTGGCTAAACCGAAAGAGATAGTTGTAAAATTTCTTGGTAAAGTTTGAGATCACTACTAAATCTCAAACTACATCAAGAAATTTTACAACTATCTCTTTCGGTTTAGCCACTAAACACCGAGCAAAAAGAGTCGGTTTCGGCGTGAGTCATTATTATTCTCAACCATTCATATGTGATACATAAAAGTATGTACATATGTACGGCTGGTAATAAAAGAGACTTTAAGCAGAAAAAATCTTAAAAGTGTCTCATAATTTGTATAGGATTTACATAAGATGGAGACGGTTTAAAAAAAACTTAAAGTCACTTTTATTCTCAGTCGATCATATGTGATGCACATACTTATGTGAATATGTGATACTTGAAGTATTAATGTATATTGATATATAAGTATCAGTATCATAGAAATAAAATTGATCATTCATGAAATAATTGAGCTAGTTCTTAAAAAAATGACTGATTTCCATACAAAATGCACTATGGGTCAATCTGACCCATAGAGATGGGATTAAGTTGTAAACACCACAGACGGGTCTAAAGTTAAAATACGACTTTTTATTTTCTTAATTGACATATAAAATGAGTTTATTACTTCACTTGTAATTTCATTGATTATTACATTATCATTAATGGCCCTAATCTGTTTATTGAATGTTATCAGATAATATGGTGGCAGAGCAGAACTGCTCTACATTTTTTTTCCTTTTTGAATTTGAAATTTAAATTTAAATTGATATTGATTGAAATGATCTAGGCACACTGCAATTATGTTCCATAAGAGACTGTATAAAATGCAAAACTATAGCACAGCTAGCGCCACTACGGACAACTATGGAGTTCTAGTCAGTTGTTTGTAACTGAGCAAAAGTCTTTTCACTAGTTGGCGGCAACTTAGTATAGATTACATTGAATTCCGTCGTGGCGCTAGCTGTGTGACACTTTGAGCATAATTTCGGTACGGATCTAGGTTTTTAATGAGGGAATATTCCACTCTTTTCTAATCAAA